CTGTTTTAGAATAGCATTTTAAAAAGCGGAAATTGAAAAGGAAGTGAGAGTTGTAAAATTGCAATTTGTTGTTGTCGAATATACATGAAGATGCTCAAACTGCAGGAGAGCGAACGAACGAACGAATAAAAAAAGCTGCAAGCGAAAAGAAAAAAAAAAGTGATAAACAAGAAAATAACTAAAAGGGGGAAATAAGAAGAAAAGAAAGACTTATCTCACTTCGTAAATATAAAGAAAACAAACAAGACACCTGAAATACCTTTCGTATATCTATTTACAAAGTAATTCATTAACATCGCTATTTAACATTACTATTTCTCTGCATCTTAGTATCGTTTTCACTCACAGTTTAATGCATGCTAACGGAAAAGTTAATAATTCGAGATATTGCAAAATGACTAAAAACGCACTAAACCCAAACTGAAATAATAATAATAATAATATGGATAAGTATAATAATGGTAATAAGGGAAAAAATAACGATCATATGATGATAATAATATCAAAGTTTAAATAATAATAATAATAATGAGTTTAAACATGGATATAAACCATCTCTCTCTGTGCAACCCTCATCGGGCTCAGCTCTTCTGCCGGAGCCCTGACTAGCACCATTGCTGATGAAATCGATACGTTTAACACACGACACACACACGCGTTCGGACATGTGTATGTGTGTGTGTGTGCACTTATGGCATGGAGTGCTATGTACACGAATCCAATCTGGAAATCCTACTTGTTTTGTGGATTAATTGTTTGTTTGGCGATTGCTATGCATCAGGGAGGAGGGATTTCATCATGTCGGTCGCATCTACTGTCAATTTTGATGGAATGAAAACCAATGTCGGGATTGTCGGCAAAAGACATTACAGGTAAGCTAAAATTTATATACAGTATAAAAATAATATAAACTCTTTTTTTATATATATCTACATGAGTTATAATCATCATTTGTCATACATAATCTATCAAAAATAGAACTCTTCATAGAGTTCCCAGTAATTTACATACACATATAAATATATATATATATATATATATATATATATATATATATATATATATACATATACATACATACATACATATATATATTACACTTACACACACACACATATATATACACACACACACATATATATATATATATATATTTATATATGATATATATCTGTGTTTATATGAATATATATATATATTGTGTATGTGCGTATACATATACATATATATATATATACTTTCATACATATATATGTATGAAAGTATATATATGTATGTACATATATATACACGTGTATATACATACATACATAATATATATATATATATATATTTAAATGTTTAAAGTGTATATAAATTGTATTTATATACTATTTTACAGCTCAAGTCCTCGCGTATAAAAACATGGCATCGATAAGTAATAATTTACAGGCAAAATATAAAAAAGAGGAAAAGCTAAACCGAGAGGGCATAAGCCAAAATTATTTTCGGGCGTATTTCTCGGGCTCGGGCAGCTCGTAGATGAGGGCATTAAGTGAGTAGAACCTGGCGGCGTGATCGCATGAGAAGTTGTACCACCAGTCACACACGAAGTACTGTTGGTTGAAGATGGTGCCGTTGGGACATAAGAACGAGTCCTGTCGCCCGTCCTCTTGGCAGATGTGGAACGTCTGTGGGGGGGGGGGGGGATTAGGTACAGAAGAGACTTTTGGGTGATGTTAGCTTTCAGAGAACGGAAACTGTGGCTAAAACTGAAGGCTAAGGAAGTTTTTTTACTTTAGAAGGTAAGAAGTTATACTTTATCATTGATATTGTCTAATCATGCACTAATGGAAAGTTGAGGTAATATGAGATAATCTGAATATATTCTATAATACTTGTGAACACATGGTATTTATAACTCCTTAACTAAAACGTACCTTTAGGTATCCTAACAGTTAGTAACATAGTACTGACCAGGCAATGCGTATCAATGTTGGCACTGTCAACCCTCACCCATTGCTTAGTACTAACCTGGCACTGCCAAACCTCACCCATTCCTTAGTACTGACCTGGCACTACGCATATTGGTTAGCACTGACCCCTGACCCATTCCTGAGTACTGACCTGGCACTGCGAATCTTTGCTGGCACTGCCAACCCTCACCTATTCCTTAGTACTGACCTGACACTGCTCCCCTAACCCATTCCTGAGTACTGACCTGGCACTGCGAATCTTTGTTGGCACTGCCAACCGTCACCCATTACTTAGTACTGACCTGGCACTGCGAATCTTTGTTGCCACTGCCAACCCTCACCTATTACTTAGTACTGACCTGGCACTGCGAATCTTTGTTGCCACTGCCAACCCTCACTCATTGCTTGGTACTGACCTGGCACTGCGAATCTTTGTTGCCACTGCCAACCCTCACCCATTCCTTAGTACTGACCTGGCACTGCGAATTTTTGTTGACACTGCCAACCCTCACCCATTCCTTAGTAGACCTGGCACTGCGAACCTTTGTTGGCACTGCTCCCCTAACCCATTCCTGAGTACTGACCTGGCACTGCGAATCTTTGTTGGCACTGCCAACCCTCACCCATTCCTGAGTACTGACCTGGCACTGCGAATCTTTGTTGACACTGCCAACCCTCACCCATTCCTTAGTACTGACCTGGCACTGCGAATCTTTGTTGGCACTGCCAACCCTCACCCATTCCTTAGTACTGACCTGGCACTGCGAATCTTTGTTGGCACTGCCAACCCTCACCCATTCCTGAGTACTGACCTGGCACTGCGAATCTTTGTTGGCACTGCCAACCCTCACCCATTCCTTAGTACTGACCCTGGCACTGCTCCCCTAACCCATTCCTGAGTACTGACCTGGCACTGCGAATCTTTGTTGGCACTGCCAACCCTCACCCATTCCTTAGTACTGACCTGGCGCTGCGAACCTTTGTTGGCACTGCTCCCCTAACCCATTCCTGAGTACTGACCTGGCACTGCGAATCTTTGTTGGCACTGCCAACCCTCACCCATTCCTGAGTACTGACCTGGCACTGCGAATCTTTGTTGGCACTGCCAACCCTCACCCATTCCTTAGTACTGACCTGGCACTGCGAATCTTTGTTGGCACTGCCAACCCTCACCCATTCCTTAGTACTGACCTGGCACTGCGAATCTTTGTTGGCACTGCCAACCCTCACCCATTCCTTAGTACTGACCTGGCACTGCGAATCTTTGTTGGCACTGCCAACCCTCACCCATTCCTTAGTACTGACCTGGCACTGCTCCCCTAACCCATTCCTGAGTACTGACCTGGCACTGCGAATCTTTGTTGGCACTGCCAACCCTCACCCATTCTTTAGTACTGACCTGGCGCTGCGAATCTTTGTTGGCACTGCCAACCCTCACCCATTACTTAGTACTGACCTGGCACTGCGAATCTTTGTTGGCACTGCCCCCCTAACCCATTCCTGAGTACTGACCTGGCACTGCGAATATTTGTTGGCACTGCCAACCCTCACCCATTACTTAGTACTGACCTGGCACTGCGAATCTTTGTTGGCACTGCCCCCCTAACCCATTCCTGAGTACTGACCTGGCACTGCGAATCTTTGTTTGCACTGCCAACCCTCACCCATTCCTTAGTACTGACCTGGCACTGCGAATCTTTGTTGGCACTGTCAATCCTGACCCATTGCTTAGTACTGACCTGGCACTGCGTAAATTTGTTGGTACTGCCCTCGAACACCCATTCCTTAGTACTAACCTACGTGGCACTGCATATATCTATTGTCACTGCCCCCTCTTTAGCAATGCCCTGTTGACATTGCCCCCCTCACTGCGCATCTTTTTCAGTGTAATCTCTCCCACCAAGACCCTCTCTGGCACTGACCTGGCACTGCGCTTCCGTGTCGGCGTATAGTCCTGGATGCTCCTGGGCGTTGCAGGTGAAGGACGTGTCAGGGACCTCGTCGTAGTTGGGGAAGTCGATGCCCGCCTCGCCGGGGATGGCCTCCTCGTCGTACTCGTGCGGGACGTAGATGTTGGGGTCTGGGGGGGAGGGGGACGGGGTGGGTGAGGGCGTGCATGGCATTCGTCGTTGGGGGAGAGTGATTGGGGGATCGTGAGGGAAACGGTCTCCGTGGCGACATTGCCGTAAAGGGAAGTGAGATGTTAAGCTATGATCGGTATGGGTTTTTAATGCTAATCTCAATGTAATTGCAAATAACTATAAAGACATGACTAATACAGTATTAAACAATAACAAAGAAAGTGAGAGCTAAAAGCTGAAGCTCTTTATGGGCGCCATATCAGCTGCCAGACTCACCGGCCTGTATGAAGTCCGGCTGCGCGGGCGCCGTGACGGTTGTGGTGGGCGCGCGTACGTGGTACAGCGAGGAGGGTGCGCGGTACGCTTTGGTGGAGGTGCGGTACACGGGCGCCTCGTCGGGTCTCGCCGCCGAGTGCGTCCGCACGTACTGGCGGCGCGGCGCGCTGCCCGAAGGCACGCGGCTGTCGTAAGGCCTGCGGGTGGTCGTGGTGGGAGCCGTGGTAGGCGTGGGCGGGCGGTACGAGGCTAAAGAAGTGGGGCGACGCCCGGTCACCGACGGGCGGTTTGCGCGCCCCTTACTGCCCACTCTCGCTGGCTCGAATTTGGGTCTGCGGGCGGGGCCACGGGATGGGGGGGCGGTGGGTCGTGACGTCGTGATAGCGGCGGCGGTGGTGGTGGAGATGCGCACGGGCGTGTAGGGCGTCGTGGTGGAAGGGCGCGAGAGGGGGCGCGCGGGCACCCTGGCAGGCACGCGTCCGTAGGAGGGGGCGGGCGTGGGGATGGGTGTGTAGGCTGGTCTGAGCTTCATGTTCTTATGCGGGCGTGTGGACGGCGGTGAGGAAAGCACCGGCTCGGGCGTGGTGGTGAGGATGGGCGCGGGAGTGGTGGAGGGGGCGGGGCGTTGACGGGGGGCGGGGTGCGCGGGAGGAGGGGGCTGGGCATCGAGGAGAGCCAGCGCTGAGGG